AAGAAAGCCCTATGGCTAAAATGGCCGTCGGAGCTTTCTTGCACAAGAGAGCATCCACACTGCCACGGGAGCTCTTGCACAAAAGCACAGCGTGCACATGGCAGTGTGGATGTTTTCTTGCGCAAGACTTCTTGCACAAGAATCCTTGGGCAAGATGTTCTTGCACAAGAAGCCACAAGAGTAGACGTAGCCAGAGAGTCTGCCTGAAGCTTCCCACTGCATTCCTAGGCCAGATCTGGTGGTTTGGCAAGATGGATCTGGTGGCTTGGAGGCCCTATTTTGCCCAGGCCTGGAATGTGTATTTACCCAGTATGCAAAGTTTTATACTACTATATGCAACCTTATGGTGAATAGTTACGGAGCTGGAATAATCCGTACTTCTTTCTGGACATCTGTGAAAAGCAATTATAAGAGTCTGACAAAGATGCTATCGAGTCATTTTTTTAATTGTATACAGGAAAGCATTGTACACTAGCTAGGAGCAGGAGTGATGAATTCTGCAACATTGGTGAGTTTTTTAAAAGATCTCTCTGCATAGCAATATGTGGTAACTTTGCAGAAATATCATCTCACCTCCTAATAGACAACAGTCATATTGCCCCTCACATGTTCAAAGCCCTGTTTTGATCTGAACAGATTCCTCCTCCCATCATTCCGTGAGTGAGGTGAGTCACTACTACTATCGCCATCCTTCTTTGACAGATGGGGAAATGCAGAGAAGTTACACAGCAAGGGAATGGCTTAGTCACCATTAGAACTCAGGATTTCCTATCTCCCAGTCCAGTGTTTGTACCGCCACATCACAGTGTCTGGTACAGCTGCAAATTGCATTGTTTTCCTCGCAGTGTGGGCCCTTTATTCCCAAACACTGGAAAGAAATAAAAAGATGATGATTTCATACGGATTAAAACACTAGCTCCTATTTTCTTTTCCAGATCGTCGCTATGTAGCGTGGCTCCTGATCATTACTATTGCTTATAACTGGAACTGCTGGTTCATTCCACTGCGCTGTGTGTTCCCAGTACAAAGAGAAAGCAACATAGTCTATTGGATTCTCGTAGACATTGTTTGCGATATTTGCTACATATGTGATCTGGTAGTGTTCCAACCCCGAATACAATTTGTAAAAGGCGGAGATATAATAGTAAGTAAGGATGGGAAGTGGAATTTCCACATTAGCAGTTGTACTTTGAAGTAGGAGCTTGTTTAAATCTGAAATAGATTTTTTCTCACAAGGCACATCTGTGCTTCTTTAAGAACATAAGAATGGCCATATTGGGTCAGACCAAAGGTGCATCCAGCCCAGTACCACTGCCAACAGTGGCCAATGCCAGGTGTCCCAGAGGGAGTAATGATCACGTGATCTCTCTCCTGCCATCCATCTCCACACTCTGACAAACAGAGGCTAGAGATATCATTCCTTACCCATACTGGCTAATAGCCATTAATGGACTTAACCTCCATGAATGTATCTAGTTCTCTTTTAAACCCTGTTATAGTTCTAGCCTTCATAACCTTCTCAGGCAAGGAGTTCCACAGATTGACTATGTGCTGTGTGCAGAAGAACTTCCTTTTATTTGTTTTAAACCTGCTGCCCATTAGTTTCATTTGGTGGCTCCTAGTTCTTATATTATGAGAACAAGTACATAACTTTTCCTTATTCACTTTCTCCACACCACTCTGATTTTATATACCTCTATCCAGTGCTTTTTTTATGATGGTACTGCCCAGTACGCAGTACCAGCACCTCCAGTCAGAGCTCAACTTTTCCCCTGGAGTACCAGCACCTTTTTTTTTTTTAAACACACAAAAAAGCACTGCCTCTATCATATCCCCCCCCCCTTGTCTCCTCTTTTCTAAGCTGAAAAGTCCTGTTCTTTAACCTCTCTTCAAATGGGACCCGTTCCAACTCCCTAATCATTTTAGCTGCCCTTCTCTGAACCTTTTCTAATGCCAGTATATCTTTTTTGAGATGAGGAGACCACATCTGTACGCAGTATTCAAAATGTGGGCATACCATGGATTTATATAAGGGCAATAAGATATTCTCCATCTTATTCTTTATCCCTTTTTTAATAATTCCTAACATCCTGTTTGCTTTTTTTTGACTGCCACTGCACACTGTGTAGACATCTTTAGAGAACTATCCACGATGACTCCAAGATCTCTTTCCTGATTAGTTGTAGCTAAATTAGCCCCATCATATTATATGTATAGTTGGGTTATTTTTTGCAATGTGCATTACTTTACATTTATCCACATTAAATTTCATTTGTTATTTTGTTGCCCAATCACTTAGTTTTGTGAGATGTTTTTGAAGTTCTTCAAAGTCTGCTTTGGTCTTAACCTTGAGCAGTTTAGTATCATCTGCAAATTTTGCTACCTCACTGTTTACCCCTTTCTCCAGATCATTTATGAATATGTTGAATAGGATTGGTCCTAGGACTGACCCTTGGGGAACACCACTAGTTACCTCTCTCCATTTGGAAATTTACCATGTATTATTATCCTTTGTTTCCTATCTTTTAACCAGTTCTCAGTCTATGAAAGGATCTTCCCTCTTATCCCATGACATCTTAATTTACGTAAGAGCCTTTGGTGAGGGATCTTGTCAAAGGCTTTCTGGAAATCTAAGTACACTATATCTACTGGATCCCCCTTGTCCACATGTTTGTTGACCCCTTCAAAGAACTCTAATAGATTAGTAAGACATGATTTCCCTTTATAGAAACCATGTTGACTTTTGCCCAACAAATTATGTTCTTCTATGTGTCTGACAATTTTATTCTTTATTATTTTTTTAACTAATTTGCCCGGTACTGATGTTAGACTTACCGGTCTGTAATTGCTGGGATCACCTCTAGAGCCCTTTTTAAATATTGGCGTTACATTAGCTATCTTCTAGTCATTGGGTACGGAAGCTGATTTAAAGGAGAAGTTACAAACCATAGTTCTGCAATTTCACATTTAAGTTCTTTCAGAACTCTTGGGTGAATGCCATCTGGTCCCGGTGACTTGTTACTGTTAAGTTTATCAATTAATTCCAAACCCCCTTCTAAAGACACTTCAATCTGTGCCAAGTCTTCAGATTTGTCACCTACAAAAGACGGTCAGGTTTGGGAATTTCCCTAACATCCTCAGCCGTGAAGACTGAAGCAAAGAATTCATTTAGTTTCTCTGCAATGACTTTATTGTCTTTACGTGCTTTTGTATCTTGATCGTCCAAGGGTCCCACTGGTTGTTTAGCAGGCTTCCTGTTTCTGATGTACTTTAAAAACATATTATTACCTTTGAAGGTTTTGGCTAGCTGATCTTCAAACTCCTTTTTGGCTTTTCTTATGACATTTTTACACTTAATTTGGCAGTGTTTATGCTCCTTTCTATTTACCTCACTAGGATTTGACTTCCACTGTTTAAAAGATGCCTTTTTATCTCTCACTGCTTCTTTTAAATGGTTGTTAAGCCATGGTGGCTCTTTTTTACTTCTTCTACTAGGTTTTTTAATTCGGGGTGTACATTTAAGTTGGGTCTCTATTATGGTGTCTTTGAAAAGTGTCCATGCATCTTGCAGGGATTTTACTTTACTTTAATTTCTGTTTAACTAACCTCCTCGTTTTTGCACAGTTCCCCTTTTTGAAATTACACCACAAGAATATTAAATGTTATTATATTATGGTCACTATTTCCAAGCGGTCCTGTTATAGTTACCTCTTGGACCACATCCTTTGTGCCAGTCAGGACTAAATCAGGAATTGCCTCTCCCCTCGTGGGTTCCTGTACCAGCTGCTCCAAGAAGCAGTTGTTTAAGGTATCAAGAAATTTTATTTCTGCATCTTGTCCTGAGGTGACATGTACCCAGTCAATATGGGGTAGTTGAAATAACCCACTATTATTGAGTTCTTTATTTTGATAACCTCTCTAATCCCCCTTTGCATTTCATAGTCACTATTACTGTCCTGGTCAGGTGGTCGATAATAGATCCCTATTGTTATATTCTTATTAGAGCACGGAATTACTATCTATAGCGATTCTATGGAACATGTTGATTCATTTAAGATTTTTACTGCATTTGATTCTAAATTTTCTTTCACATATAGTGCCACTCCCCCACCCGCATGACCTGTCCTGTCCTTCTGATATATTTTGTTTCTCCAAGCATACTTATATGCTCTTCAGATCTTTTGCTTTGGAAAAGAGACAACATACATTTCATACTGTACATGCCACATCACAATTCTAATTACACACAACAGCCATTGAAAAGATGAAGGCAAATTCAAAAGCATCACATGATAGCAGCAAGGTCAGCTTTAAAGCTCTTACACAAATTACACAAGTTGGAAAAAAAGCAACTTAATGTAGCTTCTCTGGCATCTGAGACTATGTGGAAATATAGCCAAATGTGTGTGAAATTTGCTACTCTCCACGGAGTTACTCATATAGTGCGGATGCTGCAGATGAAAACAGAAGCTTTTCTATTAGTCCAATAGGTTATGCTTCAATTACATATGATGAATGTGGTAAAAGCCTATACAAACGTCATCTAAATAAAAGCTTGGGACCCCTCTTAACCTGACAAACTTTTTCCTTTTGGTAAAAGATTTACAATTCAATTTCCAGCTTCTTTTTTTACATCAAAAGGCAGCAAGTCTCAAAAAAAATCACAAGTCAGTGCTGAAAAAAAGGAAACAAGTAGAGTCTGTTTAGCTATCAAAAAGAACCAGTAAGTAGAGAGGGCACTGATATTGACAAACACTTCATTTAGAGTTGCATGAACAGAGAGGCTTAAGATGGACCAGCAGATGGTAGTTTGAGAGGAGCTAGGAAATTCACTGAGGAGGGATCATTGAAGCCTCTGCTGAGCTAAGGATAGCAAAGAATATCTGGCAAAACTGATGCACAGCAATCACCCAATCAGCTTCTCAGTAAACTAACCATTTGGCCTAGTATGCTCAAGTTCTCTTCCAGTGTCATTTCAGCCTAAGAGACTTTTCAGTACAACAATATAACACTGGCTGATTCCATCACACTTACTCTGACACTGCTGAAATTTGACACGCCAGATTCCCAGACAATCTATGAGGGTAGAATCTAGGGCTTTGACATGATGAAAAAAATGGTCACACAGAGAGAGAGAAAGTGGGTGTGAGAAAGAGAGAGACAATCCCCCATGCAGTGCAGTGATACTTGCTGGCATGAAAAGATCTATTGTGCTATCTTTTGGCAGCTGGGGAGACTCAAACCCATCATTTCTGAAAGCAAACTGAATATAAGGAAATTTGGTTGTACTCTACCTCTAGCATTTTTTTAATCCACTGAAGAGTTACAGCTATTTTCCTGCACATGCTCTCATTCCCAATTTGGAGCATCACCTTCCAGTAAAGATGGGACCTGCCTGCAAACTTCAGAGTCAAATGTGAACTCTTCCTTTTTTCAGAGGTGTTTGGTTGAGTTTTTGGTTGAGCCCTTCTCCCCTTTTCACAATTACTATGCTTCAGTAGCAAGTTTAATAAGCAAATTAAATTAACATACAAAAATGAGTTTAGATGACATCAGATACTACACATTCAGAGCAGCAAGAAAATCAAAACCAAGAAAATATCAACATTTCAATTGGCGATGTAATTGCAGCTTGGATAGACATCCACATGCTAGGTTTAATCTAGTGAGGGCAGCTAAAAATAGCAGAAAAGATACAATGCCCCACGGCACAAGTAGAAAAATGAGTACATATTGGTCTCATCATCGTTAATTTTAACCACACTAAATTAAAACTTGCATGGTGACAAGTATCAGAGGGGTAGCCATGTTAGTCTGAATCTGCAAAAACAATGACAACAGGTGCCACAGGACTTCTTGTTGTTTTTGTAAATTAAAACTAGATCATATATGATTTGTAATCACACTTCTTTTGCAACACTAGTTTGAGGATATGTCTACATTGCAAAAGGAAGTGTATCTTCAGGCTAGTGTTTCCATCTGTATGTTGTAACCAGGCTTAGCTCAGTGTTTTTATATATCACACTACACCTTCTATGCTATAGGCCAGTGGTCCCCAACCTTTTCAGGTTGTTGGGCGCCAGGGGGCGTGGCCGTTTGCCCGCCGGGCGCCAGGGGGCAGGGAAAGTTGCGCGCCCGGGGGCGGCGCTTCCCCCCTCCCTCCCCGCAAGCACCGTGCGCCCGGGGGTGGCACTTCCCCCCCCCCCACCCCGCAAGCGCCGCGCGCCATGTGCCCGGGGCCAGGCCAGCCCAGAGCACCTGGCGGGTGCATGAAAATGCCCCCGCAGGCGCCATGGCGCCCGCGGGCACTGTGTTGGGGACCACGGCTATAGGCTTTTACTTAAACCCTAGTTTGAGGTCTTAAATAGACATGTCTATAGTGTTTGTAGTGCAAAGAAATATACCTTTCCGTGCCAATTTAGTTATTGACAATCCTGCTTAATCCCAGTAAACTTGAGTTTTATGAATAAGGTTAAAGTTGTAGCATAAAGAAGACCACTTTTCCTTTACTTTAACTTTAAGCTGTTTGTACAATTAATGGATTTTAAAGCCAGAAGGAATCATTATGGTCATTTAGTCTGAACTCCTGCATCTCTCTTAAAGCTGTGAAGAGATAATAAGGGAAAGTAGAAAATAGGTTTGCCTTGGAATGGAAAAAAAGTCCTTATGATTTTAAAGTTATTTAAAAAACACCTCTGATATAAATACAATAAGTATAATAATAAATATAGTCTTTTAGAGATTTCTGATAAGCCTTCCTAATAAGGTATTTACTGTCAGTTCCCATGGTGAGCAATTTGAAAATAAATGGCTAATCATTATTAATGAATTCAGTGTTGATTGTTATAATGCCAATAATAGCACATTCAGGGTACGGCTAGACTACATCTGTTTGTCGGAAAAAGCTCCACAAAATGTGTTCCGCATGTTGCATAGCTTTTTCCGATACTTTTGCTGGAAGAGGCTTTTCCAACATTTGGCCCGTCTAGACTGGGCCAAATATTGGGAAAAAAACCTCTTTCAAAAGCCCCCTTCTTCCTCATAGAATGAGGAATACAGGGGCTTCTGAAATAGCACGTTTGCTCTTCCTCAAAAAAAGCGGAACAGCAAACGCATTCCATGGATGTGGCACAGTTTTTTCAAGTTAACTTTGGTATTCCAAAACCCCCCTGCAGTCTAGCTGTACCCTTATTTAGTTTTCAATGGCCTGGTTCCTCTAAGAGATACTCAGTCATATCCCCTGCATGTGCCTTGCATCACTGAGTTTTGCCATGGACTTTAATGAGAGCAGGGTCAAACCCTGGCCTGAACACTATCAAGGGACAAGGTTTGGGCAGATTTTTCTTAACTATGCTTTTCCTCCCTCTCTCTATAATTTTAGACAGACAAAGTGGAAATGAAGAAACATTACCGGAGTTCTCTGAAATTTCGGGTAAGTAGGTTGTACGCCACTTCAGAATGCTTTGAATTTTAGCCTTGGAACTAAAGTTTTCCATGCTCCAATATCCCACATAGACCAAGGAATAATACTGAATGGTCACTGAGTGATGGTCATTGTAGCTTCTTACCAATTAAATCAAATGTCATGCTCACACATATTGTTCATCCACAATAAAATACTGCCTTTGGATCTATGTCTCCCATTGACTGCAATGGGAGGTAACAGTGAATGCATTCGTTTCCAAAACTATGGCTCAGCAAAGATTTATTAAAAAAAGAAGCCTGTACCCAGCTTAAATTTAAGTGTTAAATTTAATTAAGAAACATGAATATATAAGGCCAGTGACAGATTTCACCAGGCCTTGGGCAATGGGAGGGGACTTAGCTCTGGGGCCCCAAGAATGGGCAGAGCCTTGGGCAAAAAGGGCAGAGCTTGGGGCAACCAGTCCTCAGCACCACTCCAACCATGCCACACAGAGCTCCAACTGTGATTTAAAGAACCTGGTGCTCCAGTCCATCACTGCTGCTGTGGTAGCTGCAATGGTGGCCTGGAGCCCTGGGCCCTTTTAAGTCATGGACCTCAGGGCAACTGCTCCCTTTGCCCCCACTCTGTTGACAGCCCTGTTAGTATGTACTTACAAGAGTAAGAAATAATCATAAATATAAGATATCACCCTGGCTCCTTGCTAGTAAATCTAAAACTCCTTCTCAATTTTAAAGCCCCGTGCCCTAGAAAATTATCAAGGATCCATTTTATTGCATTTTTCTCTGAAATGTGATTTCCTCCGCAAGAGTGAAAAGACACTGTATTGTTAGTTACTGAGCCACGGTGCCCAAGTGCCTTTGAAATTATAGTCTAAGGCCCTGCTCTTGCAAGCACTTTTGAACATGCTCTACTTTAAGCATACAAGAAGTCTCATTTAATTCCCATGGCAGGGCTTGAATGCCTAAATTTAAGCAAAGTAAAAGTGTTTGCAGGACCACAGCCCACACAGAATACAGACAGGGAAGAGATTCAACCTGAAAGCAGCATGATGGAATGGGCATATTGAGCCTGAGTTTTCGGTTTGATCCTGCAAATGACAAGTGTCTTTGATTTCTACTGAAGTTACTAGGAGTTGAGGGTTCTCTTCAGCTCCCAAGCCTGGGCTACACTAGATTTTGGAATTTATCATTTTATTAAATACTCTCATATTCAGATGTCTGAAACTAAACTTTGCCTTTCCTTGTGTGAGTGCATTAGAGGAGAGTCAATGGCCCGGGGGCACTCCTTCCCCAATCAGTAGAGGTTTCTTAGGAGTCAGGCACAATCCATCTCCCAGCACTGGAGAGAAAAAAGATGGCACCAATAGCTAGAGCCTAACAACATTAATGGCATTTCTTAGAGTGGAAGTGTTTGTGGAGAGGTTGAAGTCGGGGTTATGACCCCAAATCTATGAGCCTCTTTTGCTCCCTCACCACAGCAGCAGCAAATCAGGGCCTGAGCCAGGAACCACTTAAGAACATAAGAGCAGCTGTACTGGGTCACACCAAAGGTCCATCTAGTCCAGTGTCCTGTTTTTCGACAGTGGCCAATGCCAGGGGCCCCAGAGAGGATGGACAGAACAGGGAATTATCAAGTGATCCCACCCCTGTTGCCCATTTCCAGCTTCTGACAAACAGAGGCTAGGGACACCGTTCCCACCCATCCTAGCTAACAGCCATGAATGGACCTTACCTCCATGAAGGAGCTGTCCCTGTTAAGACAGAGTGACTGATTGGTACAGCTTCCTTTCTCTCCCCAAAGTAGAGTTTCCACTGAATTAGGAAGAGAGACTCGCATGTGGAAAATGCTAGTCACATCACTTAATGCACTGCTGGAAGGCACTCAGGGTCTAGGATGATGTGAGCAGTAAAAGAACCGGAATGGGATAGAAGAGAATGGTTGCCTTGGAAGAAGTGGTGCCTATACCTGTTATATAGCAAGGGGAGCCCTTTCTTGTGCTCCCCACAGGTCCTTGGAGGTATTATGGCCTTGCAAAGCCAATACTTCTACTCTGAAATGTTTGTGAGGAGAGCCAACACCCACCCCCCAAGCCTTCAGCACAATTCGGGTTCATCAACACCAGAACTGAGCCCACATTGTTCAATTATTAACAGTAAAGCTGTAATTAAATATCCAATAGAATGTTAATAATCCTCAGTACATATATGAAAATCTGAGATGTGCATGAGCATAAGTAAGGGCAGAACAAAGCACCTTGTGTTTTCTTAGAGATGGTTCTACTTGTCAGTTACGCAGATAGACAGACACTATGTGTTGACTGTTTATCTTTAACATGCAATGATTATTAAATCTAGACATATTCGCTACAGAATGCAACTAAGTTACAGTCATTGTCAAGTCTAATTGAACTGTGCTCTTCAACAGCTTGATTTGGTATCAGTAATACCATTTGATGTTTTATACTTCATCTTTGGGTTTTACCCAGTGTTTAGAGCAAACAAGATGTTAAAGGTAAGACCAGAGGATTTATTATCACTGCTTGTCCACCAGAAAATATGAGAAGTTTAAAACCTATTTTAAGATTTAGTACAAATATTTGGGAGGTTTTAATTTCTGAGTTCGTAAATGCTTCCTCTTTCTAATAATCTACGCTAAAAACTTAAACAACTGCCAAATAAATAACTAAACTATGTTGTTTTAATAATCAGAATAATTGTTCTGGTTATTTTTCAGCTGATTTTTATATTTACTTTCTGCCTTATAAACAGTATTTCTGTGATCTAGACTAGTTTGTTTCTATTAGTCTAAATTGAAATAGTTTTAAATATCTTGTGTAGTTTAAAAAAAATCAAAAGCCATTGTGGAATGAAAATAGTGTACTGTGACAGATCCATGGCAGCTGGCTATAATAGATTGGTGGAGGGCAGACATACCAGGTACTGGGTGAATGGTTTCCTGAGTAAACTTCCAGAGACTGCTGCCACATAATCAAGGCAAGCAGGCACACAAGGTTAATTAAGAATTTGCCTGAAGAAGCAGGCTAATCAAGCACCTACAGCCAATTAAGGCCTGCTGGGTTACTTTAAGGTTTCCTATCAGGTAAGAGAGGGGGAAGGAGAAGAGTGAAGGACTGAGAGAAGGAAGTGCATTGCCAGGGAGTTGAGGTCTGAAAACTGAAGTAGGAAAGATTCGCTCAGGTACTAGGGAAAATGTATTAGGGCAATGTTTAGGGAAGTGGCCCAGGAAAAAGGTTGCTGTATTGGGACTAGAGGGAAAATCCCATCAGTTGCTACTCCCTTGGGTCCCTGGGCTGGAACACAGAGCAGTGGATAGGCCTGGGTTCCCCCCAACCCTCCTCACACCACTAAAAGTCTGATCCTGGAAAGGGAGGCCAGAACTAAGGGAGAGAGTTCACCTCAATCTTTTGACTTTGCCAAAGATGAGGATGGCTCAGTAAGCAGTGACCCTGGCCTCTGGAAAAGGTAAGAGGCAGTATGGAGGGTCACAGTGAGTGTCTGAGGCATACAATAACCACCTAGAAGTGCAGGACCCACGGGGCACAGAGGACCCATGGAGCTTTGCCACAATACTTATCGCTTACCTGTCACATAAGTTACAAAAGTCAACCCTTAAGAGCAATGGAATGATATTTAAGGACAACATATACCTTACACTACACTTACCTTAATAAAGATAAGCTTATTTTTCTTATCAAGTGCAGGAAATGTACAGGGCCCACTATTCATGGGGTAGAAACATTTTAGAATTCTGCCTTCTCACTACATCCTCTTGCACCCTCCACCCCAATCAAGCTAGTGGCTAAATGCTACCCTTTGGGCCTTGCACTATACCTGCCCTTGAAAAACCCCCTGCTGAATTTGTGAAGGTCAAAAATCTCTCTTTGTTACATGAAGAAGGCATCTACCATCCCTGCACAATGTGTGGTGGCATCCATTTCAGTGGCAAAACTTTTTCTGAAAATATATTTGATATGCAAACTTATGCTAAAGGTTTACCTAAAGAAACAGCTTCCCTTATCATATTTTTGTAGTACCTACTGACTAAAAAAACTGGGGCAGGAAGAAAGTGTGTCATTGGTTTGTTTGGTTTTTAATGTCCTGGTAGGGCAATGTGGAATCAAAATGGCAAGGAAGAATGTAAATCTGTGCTAGACAGAAAACAGCAAAAAGTAGCTGTTAGTTTTGCTAGATGCCTTTAACATTAAGTAAAAATAGTTAATGTGGGAGGAATTCAATACAGGAATAGATTGACTAACCTTTAAAAATTCATCATGAGACCTCATGTTTTGATGTTACAGTCTGAGATATCATTGACTAGAAAATGACAGGGATTTCGAGAGGAGGGAAAATAATTTTTTTAACGATTAATTTATTTTGGCAAAATTATGTTCAGCCCAACCAAGTACATTGTTAAATGAGGGAAAAGTCATTCATCATCAGTCATCATAGTAAATGCTAAGCAGAAGTGTCACCTGCTATGGGACAAAGGGGGCAGTTGCCCTTCCAAAATGTTGTTTTGCCGCCACCAAACTATTCATAGGTCTGTATGCTCCACTTTTTGCCTCCTCCTGACTTTATATGTGATTATATTATATCCTGTAATGTTCTATGCACTGATGCAACTTTGCCCCCATCCTAATTTTAGAGGAGTTATTTCAGTAATGATAGCTAATAGGAACAAATACCATCAAAATCTATGCTAAACTCAACTTTCATCTTAGCTTCATAGTTTACCTTTAAACTAGATATAAGTGAAATATCTTATACAGACAAGTGAAAATTCCATTATTTTCAAAATAAGTATGCAAACTAATGTCAGCCCTAATAGAAAAATATGTTATAAGGACCATGGTTGAATTGCTTTCATTTGGTTTCTGTCTAGCATCTGACCTTCTTTGAATTCAATGACCGGTTGGAAGGTATCCTGGATAAAGCATACATCTACAGGTATGTGAGCAGTAAACTTGTTATGCAAAGTTTGGCACAAAATTTCAATCATTGTCCTGAACATGCAGGGAGAAAGACAAAATGCCAGGCATGAAGTTTCCCAGTCTCAGAAGAAGTAATGAATGCAATTTCTACAACAGACCAAAAAGAGGAGAGAAGAGCTGTTCATCCAGCCATGAAAGGCAGCTCAGCCTAGAGGGACAGGGAACCTTCCCACAAGGTGTGCAGGAGTTAATGGCTTACTTGAATCCACCAGCTTATCCACTGGCTCCGATGATGCCTTTTCTTCACCACTGGTCACTCCACATCCCAACCCCAAGGGTGAGGGACTTTTAAGGGAGCCGTTATACTTTTTTCCCCACCAATCCAGACAAAGCTACTACCTGATTAGTCAATAAGGACCACTCCTGCAGAGCTGCAGCTCTTACTACATTCAAAATGCAGAGGCACAGCATCCCACACCAGTACGAGCTGGGACTGCTCAGTCCCAGCTTGTGCTGTGTCCAGCAGCCCCAGTTTATGACAGACAGCCCTGTCCACCGCGAACAGGGCAGGCTGCCGGAGCAGCCACTGCACACAGCCAGCCCGGACTTCCAGGAACAGGGGCTGCTTGTCAGCAGCCTCCTCTGTTTCCCCCACTGCCTCTTTCAGAGGCAGCAGGGCGGCACTGCAGAGACGGTGCTGGGGGAACCAGCTTTTAAGTCAGCTCCTCCCAGTACTGGCTCCTGTTTCTCCCCTGCTTGCTACCTCACATAGAGGTAGCAAAGTGGGGGGAAGTGAGTAGTCGATACTCCAGTCAACTAGCCAATAAGCTTATGCTTATTGGGCACTTGGTTAGTCAACTACTTGCTAACATCCCTAATCCTACAAACAGTAACATCCACGGGTAATTTTATTCGTGAGTTAATCCCATTCTGTTCGGTATGACTGAACATGTGGGTGAAGTTACTGACATTCATAAGTGTGTAAAGGATGGGAGTCCATGTTACCGTACCAGACAGGATCCAAAGAACCATAAAAGGATCATGGGATCATTCTAGGAGACTTCCTTTGCTAATGGATGACATGAGATTCTGTGTGGTGGTTTTCTGACATATAGCAGCAGTCCTGATACCAAGACTGTTTGCATTTTTTTTTTAAACACTACTCTCACCTTGCATTTGAGATATACAGAATCTTCCCCTTTCACTGTCTTGGCTAAACATGTGGTGAGAGTTGATGCAGCACAGACCCTGGGAAATAGGAGTGACTACAAGGGTTTTGTGCCTTCCTTATTACAGGATTTTCTAGGAACCAAAACAGCTCCTAAGTAACAGCACTACCCTAAGGGCTACACTGTTGCTAAAAATGTCCATAATGCAGACCCCAGCTTAATTATCCCTGTCTCCTCACCCACAAGTCTTGTGGAGGGTGGACTGTAGAGCAGCGTAAATTGCTGCTTGTAAATGCCTGCACCTGGAAAATTCACCTCTACGTACCTCTGGGGCTTATATGGTTCTTGTGTGCTATTGCCTGAGAGCAAGAATCTTATCTATGCCACTGTTATATTTCAAACAAGTACATTTAAATGATAGACTTGGGAATCATGCATTGCAAACCCTATATTTTATGAGACTTAGGTACCAAAGCTACATTCATATGGAAGGGAGCGTGTATCTATGTAAAACAATGTAAAACAGATTGATGTTCTGGAACTTCATCTTAATCTTAAGTGTTTTTAGGAGATTATCTTCCTGGTATCTAGATGCCATGTGAAATTAAGACTCATAGGTCTATTCATTGCACTTGATCAGTGTGCATGATTCCCATGCATATCACAATCCAGTTCAAATGTATCTTCCTTACCTGAAACCTTTTAAGACATTGCTGTAGCTAATTTCCTTGTGTTTCCCTACTACTCTCCCTCTTCATTCATTTAGTACCAGATTCCACTCTGTCCTGTTTCAATGCAGTGCCTAGCAGATGGAACCACCTTGCTACAGCTTTTTATGTGGACTCTACATCTCATCTGAAAATACATTCTCTCTCTTGCTTTTCATTTCTTCCTCTTTAGGATTTATTATTTTAAATCTGTAATAATATTTTTTTACTATAGCAGGTACATTATATAATAATCTTCAGCATTGATGTGGCACCATCCATACAGATGACTCACAAATGTTAACTGATTACACCTCATAAGTCTCCTTGAAAGACGAAGGATGAATATTATCCCCATTTGCAAATAGAGAAATTGAGGCACAAAAAAGGCAATTTCCCCAGATCACATAGTGAATGCAAGAGCTAGAACTAGAACTGACATCTCCTGATGTAGCCACTAAATTACATTACCTTCTTTGCTGAAGGATTTAGGAGATCATTTATAGATCATATGTGCTGTATGCTGAATGAGGCCAGCATATTAAAAATTGGGTGAATTATATTCTGAAGAGAGTGAGGAACCAAAAGTGCTGGCTTTGTCAAGGACTAGAAGGAACAAGCATTTTGCAAGTTTCCTCATGCAGCTGTCAATACACAAAATTTCTGACATGAAACACCTACTGATTGTCTTCAGCAGAGTCTAGCAAATACATTGATTCATACACCACAATCCCATTAATACAGTTTCACCTTTCTATAAACATTTATAGCCAGTTAAGCCAATGGTTTATGAAGTCCTAAGAGAAACATAATTTAGGGGTGACCCTGCATCAACTGGTCTATGAAGGTGATTCCTTTGGCCTTTGGAAGAAGAGAGAGGCCAGAGGTGACACAGTGGGAAAATAGCTGGAAAATGCCACTCATGGTGTTGCATTGTGGCAAGTAATAGCCAGCATTAATATGGCTTTTGATCAAAATCAGGGAGTTCCATAGCAAAGGGGGAAAACAGGCTCTTTTCCAGGAATTATATAAGCTATGATTTGCAATATGTTGTCCTTTACAGAGTCATTCGAACAACTGGATACCTGCTGTTTATCTTGCACATTAATGCATGTATTTATTACTGGGCCTCAGACTTTGAAGGAATTGGCAGCACCAAATGGGTATATGATGGCAAAGGAAATATGTAAGTCCTTCATTTGCAAAAGATTTTTGTTGATTCCTCCTCTCCTTCACAGCTTTATTTGCAAGGTACACCCTTATTTTTATAACTGCTTGGATAGCTAACTTTTAGCACCATTACTGCTGATTGTTGGTAATGAATGGTGCTAATTATTTGGAAGGCAGGTGCAGTGAATAATTACTTTACCACTTTCTATTTTTAAGGGTTTATGAGTCAGCTCTAACCACTAACTTAATTAAGTGTTTAAAACGAAACCTGGGTCATAAATTAAGCTTACTTTTAGGAATGCACATGGGAAGTGTTACAGTCATTTGAAAGGGTCAGAGGAGTAGAACTGGGACAGACTATGCTGCAAGGTAGTATCATGTAATTTAATATAACATTTTACCCTTGCTAGACTCCGTGATTATTGGTCGAAAAGAGGCCCCAAAAGGTTTCTGTCATTTTCAGGAAAGGTCGTGGTTAAGCGTGTGGTTAAATAAAAAATCTCCAGTGAGAGGGCAAAAAATCTCCAGTGGGAAGGTGTAGGTATTGGCATACTCTGCCACAGGCTACTCATAGCAGCTGGGGAGCTAGTGCCAAGTAATATATGTTAATTAAGATGAAGGAAAGAAAGAAGGAAAAATACCGAAGTTATACAGTATATAGTGTGGGTGTAGGTCTATGAAAGTATTTGAATGTCTTTCAAGGAAAATGGTAAATTTAAAGCCACAGTAGCCTGAATTTGTTCATTAATTTCAGGCTTTGAAAGAGAACATGTAACTGGCAAGGTGCATTTCAGTCCTGTTGTAACCATTACCTTCAATGATGTGCATACATGGTACTTTAGCTTGTGATTTTATGAGACTTACTGAGCAATTCATACCAGGGATCAGTATTTTGATGGGAGATCTGCAAAAGATACCCAGATACAGCAGAAAGTGGGTAGGCATATTTGGGGATGGGAGATCATACGGAAGGCAATATTATTAAACATTGACTATGGAGATGTTTTACTATTAATAATAAATCTAGGCTCATTCCACAGGAGCCCAGCATCATTCCATTTTTTAGTAATGGTTCAATATTTGTCATCTTCAGAGATGCTACATGATCTTCCTTACATACTTTGGGCAGATATTATGCAAATACCATGGCATCTAGATTGAATGCAAATGAGAAAGCAATTTTGACGTCATTGTTTATGTGGACCCACCTCCTACGAGGTCTGGTGAGGGCAAACCAACATTTGGGAGGAGTGACTGCCTCTTTGTGAATCACCTGAGCAGAATCATCACGCAAAGAAAAAAAAAAGAGGGCTACTTATTTATATTGCAACTATTGTTCTTCACAGTGTGTGTGCAGACAAATTCCACAACCCACCCTCCCATTCCTCTTCATCAGTCTCTAACTTTGTATTCTGGTGCAAATGACCTGAGGAGGGTGTTAGCGGAGGAAGGGGCCATGAGGGACAGAGGGCACAAGTACTGTTTGGACAGCTGCTACTAAGCAAAGCTCTCTGGTTTCAGTGCACCCATACACTGAGGTTGAATACAATCTGCACTCACATCTCCAAGAGTCACAGTTACAATACAACTAAAGTAATCATCCCTTTAAGTGATCTGTTAACTTGTGTGACAGAAACTTGCAAAGATACTGTGGTTGCAGTGTCGTTGAGGACCATATTGTGTTTTACATTTAAAACATGAAAGCTTCAAAAATCCATTACACTGAGATATGACAGAAAGCATGAGCTGTGCAATATTCATAGAACTTAGTACAATACAGGTGAATTGCATTTTTCTGTTCTGAAAAATCCGATAGCTGGCTTTGCAGAAACCCAGCCTTTGAAGCTTGATGTGCTGGGGAATTGGGAGAGGAACATTTTTTTCCTGTTTTTAGAAAGCTGGGGGAAAAGCAAAACTTTTGGTATAAATGGCAGAAGGTATGTTGACAAAACTTATGTCAACACCCAAAAGTTAAAACAAAAATCACCAGAGGGTGTTCACACTTGCATCCTCTGTCCATAGATCATGCCCACATTGGGGACACCACCACTGACAGTGTGAGCAATGCACTGTGGGTAAGCATCCCACAGTGCAGTGTTGTGAAAAGGCAGAGCTGATCCCTGTGCATCTTGGGATTCCCTCAGCTGTCGCCCACAGCCTCAAGGGAGCAGCACATGAGTTCCACTGTGAGCTCTCTGGGTGTGTCTAGAATACAGGTTTTTTTTTTTTTTTTTTTCCAAAAGAACTTTCCCTGCGTCTAAACTGCTGTCACGTTCTTTCAAAAGTAAATCCAAAGAACGCAGCAGTTTTTTTGACCACGGAAAACCTCATTTTATGAGAAAGAACGCCTTTTTTTTTTTTTGGAAAGTGCTATTTCAAAAAAAGGCTCTATGTAATGAAAAATGTGCTTTTTTGAAAGAGCATCCAGACTGCCTGGGTGCTCTCTTTCAAAAAAGCGGATTGCTTTTTCAAAAGTACCTGTTGTAGTCTAGACACTCTTTTTTGAAAGAGGCTTTTTCGAAAAAGCCTCTTTCGAAAGAGGCTTTCAGTCTAGACGTAGCCTTAGTGCTGAGGAATGACCAAGCAGTACAACAGCTTGTCCCCCTCCTGATGCAGCAGCAATCTGCCTGCAGCTGTGTTCCTGGTGCAGGGCAGAACAGGAGCAGTCCAATGATTTGCTCTTTGTTTCTCAAATGGAGCTGCTCAGTCAGCTGTCAGACACTTTCTGGAGCTTTGAAAGTGTAGGTATGTATGCTTGCAGAAGCCAATTCTGTGCACAGAACAGCAGTCTACATGTCTCTGTTAACAATAAAGGGAGGGGGAAAAAGAAAAAAGTCTCGCATAAGGGTGGAAGTCTGATCATGAACAATCAAACAAATTCTGACCATGGACAATATTTACAGTGTTAGCACAGTGAGGCGCCTTCTGTCTGAGGAGCTAAACATACTTTGCTAATGCAATCCCTACTGAAGCCAAGCATGCCTGAAGGCAGAATTTGGTGCAGTGTTCATAATAAATTGTTAGGTTTAGTGCGTGACAGATCTGCTGAAACAGAAACGCAAATCTGTTAGAATGCATTTGTGAGTCTCATTAATCTAATGAACCTTTCCCGCTTTATAAATTATTTTTAAAAAGGCTCCTTTCTAAAACGCAGAGCACTCAGCAGGGCTCCCTGAAGAAATCAGGCTATATTGGCACCTAAATATTGGTTGACATGTTCACACCTACCCTCTGGTCATTTATTCTTAGGGCAATATAATCACAGAGAAAATGCAGAAAACCTAAAAGGATTTAAACACTCATTAAATACATCAAGAACCACCCCTCTTCCACACATCGAGTCTGGTAGGCCAAAGGTTTGGGGCCACCTAGGAGCACAGACCCTGTCCATTTATGCAACAGCCATACTCTAATGCAGGGCTACTTAACATGCGGCACATGGGCTACATGCGCCCATGGCCCGTTTGTTTGCAGCCCGTGGAGCAATTTGGGTTTATGCAGGACTCAACATGTGGCCCCTGGGTGGGATCCTTTGAACATGGCCACCACTGGGAACATGCTCCACAATGGTGAGGCGTCTCCCAGGCAGGGTGAGCACAGAAAGATGCAAGCAGACGGGCTGGCTGGAACAGATGGATACAGGGCGTTTCTAGCCCACAGGGAGGTGGTACCGTGAGTGCTGGGACACTGTGGGACGTGCTGGCTACTTAGCCTTGTGCGCAGAGCCTGAGAAGTGCACTGGCCATGTTTGGATCTGGGGCTGTGGACCCACGGTTTAATCTTTATATTCATGCCCATCAGTGTGAAATAAATTATTTGCATATATATTTGCATGTATATAAAACCACACTTAAGTTGCAGTCCTCGGCATTTGCTGTGAGTATCATTGTGGCCCCCAGGGCTTCCAAAGTTGAGTAGCCCTGCTCTAATGTCAGCAAGTAGTAAGCCCTGAAGATAACCCTTTACAACACCAGCATATCATTTTAACACTATTCCCATGCAGTATTGTACTTGACAAGAAGGAATCAGTTGCAATCAGCAACTTATTTCACTGGTGCTTGTGTAACCCATACACCTAGGCTGTGTCTAGATTACATCCCTCTTAAAACAGAGAGATATAAATTAGGCACTTTGAAATTGCAAATGAATTTCCCATGCTTCATCTGCATAATTACATAATGGCGCTCTTTCAAAAAAGCACTGTTTCAAAAGTAAAACCGCGGGCTAGACGCGGTTCTTTTGAAAAGGGAAAGCTTTTGCAAAAGATCCTGTAAACCACAGGACACAGACCATGCAGAGACACTTAGACCACAGCAACACATAAGACCAAGAGACCTCATGTGCAGAGAGCCAGCTGGCTTTTAACTCAGAGGGTAGAGGCTCCCACACTGAGCTCCAAAGGTCCCAGGTTCAAATCCGCCTGGTCATGGTTACACTTGGAGTGCCCCAAAGTGTATTTGTCAAAGACAGCTGATTCGAAAGCATTGCATTGAGCATTTCAACTAGTCACCCAATGGAAGCCACTAACCCTGGAACACACATACAAGCTCCCAATGCAATGCAAGGGGAGAGGGTGTCACCCAAGAATGGGATCTATAAAAGCCAGTACCCTGGAAAGCTGCCTAAACTAGCCATTAGCAGATACCAAGGAGAGGAGTGCATTCTAAGCCTCACCCCAATTTCACAGCCTTAGTCTGGGCTGGAGGAAGATGCCCATCTCTGCTTGGGATCCACAGCTAGTGTCTTTCCTGGAGTCAGCTGCATAAGCTGCATCTTGCAAGAACAGAGGCAACACATGCTTAACTCCAGACCAAACAGCTGGATGCTGCAGGGAGAAGAGGTGGGAAATCCCTAACCCCTGACTAAAAGCTATAAGACAAGCCAGGGTGCCCTTCTTCCCCGGCATTGTGTGCCGAGTTAGGCATGCTCTGAATGCTGGATCAGACACTGCAGACGCAGGATAGGGAAACATCTGTGTTCACCAGTGTAATGCTCTGCTAGTCTGCTCACCACTAC